TCCTTTACCTTCTTTGTCAAAGTTATATCTTTTATTGCATTCTAGTTTTAGTTAACCTTAAAAACCAATCAATCACATGATCGCACTTAGATTAAGCTAGTACTTGTATTCTCGGTGCTTTTAAGTCCCTCAGAACTGGTTCGACAATCATCTATACTACAACATTTGCTTTAGGAGCCTCAAAAACTCCTAACATCAATACATGAAACGGTGATGACTTTCTAGTACTCCGTGTGATACTATCCTTGTCATGGTATAGGGTGCATGTGTGATCAAAATGTCTCAAGTGTAACAATTTTATGGGGTTTCTAGAGTCTTTTTGTCTACTTATGGGTTTCTAGAGCTAGTTTTGAAATTTACGTTGTTTTTTTTTCTCTCTAGTAAATGGACAATGAGAATATAATATAGAAAATAAATATTGTGAATTTGTGAAATGTCTACATCGAAAGTGTTTGAAAACACATGCAGCCTTACTGTGAATCTGTGATAGTTAGTCGCATTATACACCCAAAAGCTATGGACAAAAAGCTTTGACCATAGTGACCATCCACTATTATTGATTTGCTATGACACTATACGTATAGTATAGTCACGACTCTCTCTCTATATACACATCTCAGCTTTCACAGACACTTTGTGCATGCACCTGATGATGCTATTGCCACCCATATAGCTATATATATTCTTATTTATATACATACTATGTGTATGTAATTGCATATGTACTATCTATATGATATTTCCACTGTCAGATTCCAAATATGTAACTACTAATTCGAGTAAATATAATAAACAGTAACGTAGGAAAGTCAGAGATTGGGCTTGGCATTACAACGTATATTTGTGGACTAATTTGCCTAACTTTTTAATAGTTTTATGGTTGAATATTGTGCGGACAACTGGAACACGACAACATTGAGAATTTTATAGGTTAATCTTATAAAAATATACTCCAAACATGTCACACATTCTAGTAGAAACGAAATATAATATAGTATGTCGTGGTTACTAATAACGCAATATGTGCAGGACGTGAAAGGCTCATGTTTCACATCTTATTACATCAGGTTGTTCGTTGCTCTAATGTTGCATTTGGATCATCAATACATTTGAACTTAAGTAAAATGAATGGCAAGAATCCTCTAAACTACATAAAAGTTCCCCATCTAGAAATGCTTGATAAGTACCTCTGAATATAGTATAGTACGAAAATGCTTATGTATGGATTTTTATTATTATAGAACATTTTTTTTTGCAAAATATTATAGAACGTTTATATGATCAAAATCATTATTATTTTCCTCACTTTGATTTGGAAATTAAACAATAACTTTTTCCATACATAATAATATATATTATAATTTACACACACACACACATATATATATATATATATATATATATATATATTGGTGGCACTAAAGATCAATATTCATCTAACTTGTAGAAGTAATTGAAAACTTCCTTGACACAAATATTTATAATTCAGTTATAGTTTAGTTACGAGTGTAGCCTAAACTTCTTCTTTTGGGTAAAAATGAAAAGAAAATGTAGCAAAATATAACACGTATACAATGTTTAAAGAATCCAATCTTGGTTAGTCCGGCCTGTTGGAAGCTACTAGCCAGACCAGAGGCACCAGAGTGCATGTCGACGATACGTTCGTGGAGTGGCTCAATTTTCACCAAACATTTCTCTCATCCATAAAAAAATTCACACCAATAATTATTAAAAAGCGAAACATTATCGTATTGGATGAATATGATTTCAACCAACTACCAGATCTGCTACAATACGATATAATAAATTTGTCTCGTACCATAAAATAAATACTATATAGAGTGTTCGTAATCAGGGCCAAAGGACACGCACGAAGAGGAACACGACTGAACCCAAAACAACAATAAAAACAAAATAAGACTACCAAGTTTCCAGAGTTTGTCTTTGCTACAACGAGCAAGAATACAAGTGCTAATTCTTGGTTTGATCCGGATTAATTCGGTTGGGTTTATTGTCTATACTAGTGAAAAGTACTTGACAGATTTGAATTGATCATTTAGTTTCACTTGGACCCCACGAGGCTATGTGTCAAAGTGTCAGTAGACAAGTACGCAAAGTGAGACAAATCTGGATACATCAAACTCATTCAAATTCCTCGCATTAAATCCATAATTGTTTATGTGTCACATGAAATTTACAAATCCGTTTACGTATTAAATAAACCTTTTGTTTTACTTTGTCACGTCTTCAAATTAAATGTCATATTTTGTCAAGCATTTATGTACTTTGAAAGGATTTTCATATATAAAATCTCTGTTTTAGATTAATGCATGTTTATTTGTCCAAAAAAAAAAAAAAAAAAGATTAATGCATGTTCTAACGTTACTCTAAGTTCTTCTCACATAACAGAAACCCCCATAAATTAGAATAATTAAGAAGAATTCATAGATAACAATTAAATACAAATACTTTCTTAATTGACATGCGACTGCATATATTACATTTACGAAGATAATTAAAACTTAGAAGAACTACTCGAAAACAATTTGGCACATATTTTCTTGTTCATCTTCTTTTCTTACAAAAACAAAATGCGATGAACAAGAACATTAGCCTAAGGGGGCATCTAATGATATAGCCCCATCTTCTACAACGTTCCATGAAAGGTTAGCCATATACATATTGGTTGGCATTAAATATTTCGAACATTGTACTAGCTCATTTATTATACATCCCCTTCATATTCTTGGCTGCATTTGTTTCCATTCCACCAATCGTCGCAAGAAATTCATCACCTATTGATTTTGTTTGGAGTGAGTTAGTAGTTAGTACGTATAGAAAACCATTTACTGGAAATACATAGAAGTCAACGACTAATATTATGGATGTAAATGAATATACATATTATAAAAATATTTGTGGACTTGCCTCGGACGGATCTTGCAGAGAATACGAAGCATCTGTATCCTTGGGAAATTTGGAGACAAGTATGCCAAAGCCTTCACCTCTGTCTCGTAGCATCTAATTTACATGGCACCAACGTTAATTAACATGTACTATAATTAGTGCCGTAACATAAGTATATATATTTTTCTATATTTTATGAACAGAGTTTGTATACCTTAAATGCATCTTCGTCGGTCCGATCATCGCCGATGTAAACCGGGAAAACGTTGTTAGAGTTCCCAAACCCTGTCGTATCCAAATGTGCAAGATAATTATTTCAAACTTTAAATTGAGTATCCCATTATTTAAAGGTGAATTGAGAAGCATATTAATGATGAAAAATGATTAGTGGATAAAAGATGCTTTTAAATAAAAAGACAGGACAAAAATTATTATTGTTTTTTTTCTAATTATGGATTGAAAAAAGAATATTTGTTTTAAGAAAAAGAGAGAGGGCTACTAAGCACTCACCAAGTGACTCTAACAAGAACTCAAGAGCTTTTCCTTTATTCCAATCGATCACAGGACGGATTTCAAAAACCTGTTGATTATATTCAAAACAAATTTAAATCATTTACACTCACTGTTATGACAAAACAAAACTATATTACTAACAGTTTTTTTTGGGTCAAACTAACAGTTTTTTTTAAGAATGAGAAAGTACTGTCATGTCTTACCATCCGACCTTGACTCAGTTTGAGCTTTGGATATTTCTCTAGAACCGACCGAACCTGTAGAACCAGTTCGCTCCATTTCTGTATTATTATGTTTTTATAATGTTAGTTTCCCTTATAATTTAATAAAACTATTCTCTCTCTTATGTGTGGTTTTGATTTTACCTTCTCATCGACGCAACGAAAGTGCACAGAAGCAGAAAACTTGTGGTTTTCTACTATGACTCCACGAATTGATTTGGTTTTCTCCAAGAGTTGTATACAGACCTTTAAATTCAAACACATGCAACAATGTTAAGTTTTGGAACTAAACACTGAAGAGCACGACATGTATATTTGTCGTAAAACAGAGAAGCATATAATTAAGCTGAATATAATAATATGTCTTACTTCATCAATCATGGGAAGATAGTCACTAGCTGGTTGGTACAACAGAGACTGTTTAACCTAAGTAAAGAGGAATTAAATAAGATTTAAAAGAAAATAAAGATACAATAGTATTTTTGTTTTTAGCAATTAATTATGTTATTTGGGATTACCCTCTTGTGTCTGGAGAAGCCTTTTGCTGGCCCTTTAATGTCCATGCCATGGCTTCCAGCATAATACAGCTCAGCCAGCTTCACAAAGTTATACACCTTTGGAAAAAAAAAACAAAATTATTAAAACTAATTATTTATACAAATTATGTTTCTTAAAACAATAAATAACGGTCAGCATATAAGGAAAGTGCCAAGAGAAACAAAATACCTTGTCTATGCATCTACCAGTAACTATAGCAGTGGGGAAACATTTAGCCAGTTTTTTCACAGTTCTTCTCATCTAAGAACATCAATCAAAATCAAAAATTAATCACAGAGACTATAGTGATTAGTTCAAAACAGGAAAAATATGACTTTAAGACAAACCTTGCTTGACATGAAAGCTTTGTCTGGATCATCAACGATGGGGGATAAAGTACCGTCATAATCAAGAAACATTACGATTTGTTTCCCTCCTGAAGCTTCTGTTATCTCCTCGAACATTTCTAATGCTGAAGGATGCTCCATCTGATTAAAAAAAAGTTGTAAAATGAAAAACTCATTAAGAGTTTGTGAAAGATAGTTAGTTATATATGAAGACTACTTACGATCCATGAGCTGAGATGTTTCTCTGAGGATATAGAAGAAGGGAGTGATTTGAGATGAGTAGGAGAAGAAGCTCGCATTGAATCGACCCAAGCGTTGACTCTTTGTCCACCATTGATGATCTCGAGGTTCTTGAGAAGCGTTTTCTGAGCAGAAGAAGAGTTGTTAGGGATGATACTTAACCTTGTGGTCTCTGATACGACGCCGTTTGACATTCTCTGTGGTTTCTCCACAACAAAGCTCACTGAGGAAAACAGAGTATAAATATTGGTTAATCAGAGAGAGAGAGATACTAGATTATGTCGAGATGAATTAAACCTAGTAAAACAAAACCATTGCTTACCCATTTTTTTTTAAAAAAGGGTTTAAGATGAAATTAGTACTCGAATCAAAGAGTTAATTTGAGATTTAAAGGAGTGAAGAAAGAAAGATATGAAGATAGAGGATTTGTGTGTTTATTTCCACTCCTGTGAATTGGTTATGTAGGAGAACAAAGGCAAAAAAGTGGGACCTACTGGGCCTAATAATGGGTTTTTATGGGCCCACTTTTTGATGGTCTTATTCGCCTACGTTGTAATATGTTTGCGTGTCTATTGTCACCGAGCCTAGCGAGTCGTCGAATCCGCGTCTCCAACGTTTTATTAATCCAGATTCTAATTAACTTAAACGTGTAACTTATAAAAACACTTAAGTACTATATATTATACGATGTCATTTCATTTTCATCCCCTAGCAACATTTGACTTTAAAAATTCGTAGAACTTCTCTTTTTGTTTTTTTGAACTACCCTCGAAGAACTTCTCTATCATTAATTTTTCTGTTTCTTCTTGTAATAGAGAATTTGTTTTGGTTCTCAAACACACTCATATAAAAGATCAATTTATTTGATGTGTTCAGAAACTTATATATATATATCCTATTTTATTTTACATAATTTATTTTATTTTTGAAAAAGGGAAGACTGTAGTTGTTCTTTTACATATTTTAGATTATATCAGTTTCAATTTCTATAAAAATATTTAATGAGAAGTAAAACACATCCTTGTTAATTTTAGAAAAAAAATCAACTGGTGCGGTTTATATACATTTGGTAAAAGGTAAAAATGCCTTCAACTAAAAGAGAATTAATAATATTATAAGAATTAATAATATTATACCATTTACGAATGTATCAAGACTAAGTTAGATACTAAATACTTAAGTTGTAACCACAAAAAAAAGTGGAAATTTTTGAATTAATATAGGCTTGACTTTTTGGCACCACATAACATCGTAAATAAGAAATTAATACTCTTTTATTCTTAATAAAAATCTAAATACTTAATACATTTATTAATTCGCTAAATATATTTTCCAAGTCGCATTACAAGTTGCTATATACACACCTAAAAGATGGATTAATTTTTGTCAAATTGTGGAAATGATAAAATAATGACATTGTGTTCACATGTTTGCTAATTTATATTTTGGATGGAACTTCAAACCAGCGTCTTAGAAGTCCCTCCATTTTACTTCTAGTTCGACAACCAAGTGATGTGATTATGTTCCTCATGTTCTGGTCAAATTGACGAGCAGTTTGCTCCATAGATATCCAGTTCTCCCATGTCTCAATATGTACCTTTCTCTCCATATGTCATAAACTGTAATTTGAAAAACCATTCTCACCAATAATCTGTCCAAACTAGCAAAATAATCATGCTGCATAGTGCATACTCAGAATGGTGTTTGCTAATCTATTACTATGGACATTTTTCGTGGATCGTTTGGATAATGAATTTATAACAGCAATAGTACTAGTATGCTCATTACTAGCTTTTTTTGTATTTCTCACACTACTACTACTAGCGTTTAACATCATAAATTATGTTTTTCGTTTACTCCGCTAGATTAAAATCACGGTCATAATCCTTTTCCCCCTAAATCCAAAGATTATGCATGCATAGTAAAACGGTGGATTCTCTAATTTACATGCCAGCTAAAAATATATGCTTTTCGGCAAAACAACGACTTTGTCCTCTTCGTTCTCGTCATCTTGTATCAATTATTATGGCAGTTATTGTTGTTTTCTGTAGATTTAATGCGGTGCAAGCACGCGTAGTAATCAGTTTAATTTTAGTATTCACTTTTCGCATTAATCATGAAAGTCTATCGACTTTGAGCTTTTTCTTGATTCACGATTTAACAAGTGTCGAAAAAGTAAAGTTCCAATTAGTATCTAACCAATCTTTCGTGCATGCACCTCGAAGATGTTTAATCAAATAATAGTAGTACTATTAATTTCTTATAAATTCTTAGATTAAATACTTAGGAAGTTTAGTATCAATCCATGATCTGCAAAAATTTGGAATCCTGAAAACCGTGTCCAGCGGCTGATGATATAGCTATACTGAAAAAGCTGCCTAAGTGTGGAATCGATGGAACGGTAGGGTACTTAGCCAGCCAATGAGCCGGAGAGGAGCATAAGAGATCAAAAGGACCCTCTACACTTGTCCCTCACTACCTGAAACTATTATGTGATATGACTCGTCTCTGAATCTTGTCGTGCTTCGAGCCAATAACCGCACGTGTGGTCTACTTCAGTGCGTGTCGATCCTATTGAAACATATATGGATAAAGAGCCCCGTCTCTGGCAGATTCTGTTTCTCTTGAACCCAAAAGAGAACAAGAACATGTATATAATTTAGTAAATGGAAAAATAATGAATACACTACATATTAGCTCATTCTACGTGTTTACACGAAGCCCACAAGTTTTGTTTTTCCACTAATGAAAGATCTGAACCATGCCGTTTGGTTTTGTTTAATAGTGTACATTATTAGGTTTTTTGTTTTCTTTCCGTTGGGTTCTTAAGGGTTAACGTAATTTGCTAATTAACCACTCGTTTTATGAATTGTTAATTGCTAAGATCATGTTATTAGATTCGAGTTTCGAGGTGTTATTAGTAGTACTTTATTTGACATTTTGTATTCATCTTAAACTGGTTCATGATTCTAGTTGTTGGTTAATTATTCAATACGTGTACTAGTTTTATGATATTTAATCTGTTTTATTAAAATTTTGGTTTTAATGTCACAGATTGTACTACTAGTCAGCACTTTATCTTATAAATATTTAGAAAGTTACATAATCTAGAGGTTGATATCACTTCTAACTTTTATTTTCCAATTTAACTTATAAATTTGAAACTAGTTCGTTCAACACAAATATACAGGAACTTACATGTGAAACTAGTTCTTTCAACAAATTCTCCTAAATGAGATTTTTTTTTTATTTTTTTTATTTGGTGAGTCCACAAAATTTCTAGAGTTTATGGGGAATTATTACATACGTCATTGCAAACACCTTATTTAACATGGGAGGTTAGAAAACCATTCACCCAAAATAGTATTGGGTCCAGAAAAACTCGGACATTTGTTTTCTTTTCGACGAGTCTCACAATTTTCTTTCTAAATATTGACTTAAAACAAATCTAAGGTTCATTTTCCTTTTCTCCTAAAAAAACTGGTCAACATAACCATAGACAAAAAAAAATAAAACAAACCAAAAAATTTCAAGAATTGATCGAAGACGAACCCACCAACCACGTCTATTCACAATTTTTCCATCGATTTCGAGAAGAGACAACAACGTTATTTTATCCTACTTTGATCATAATGCCACCACCGTGTGCAAAAATTTTGATTCAAGAAGAGTGCATGCAGAAAAACAAGCTTCCCTGAGGTTTATTTGATAAGAGGATGGCAGAAAATCCAATGGAGAAAAGGTCACGTCGTGGATTGTTCGGTTTTGTGTTTGGTAGACGTGGCTTGTGGTCCAAGAAATGTAACACAGACAATGGTAACAAAACCACAATGCGTAGCAGCAACGCCTCCGCGCCTTGCACCTCTAATATTCAGTTCACAAAATCTCCTTGTAACGAAACAAACCCCAAAAAGCTTCAAGAACACAAAGTTTCACCTGAACCGATCCAAAACCAGAACCAAACACAAATACAAAGACCTATTTCAAAACCCTCATCGAATCCAGGACCAGTCCAACAACAAGCGAGGAAAGTGGTGCCTAGAGAATCCATCGGTTTATCAGGTGAGCTTGAGAGTATGATAATGGACAATCAAAAAGCTAAAGGGATGATGTTTGGTAACCTTGGGAACTTGAAGCAGCAAGGAACAACAGCTTTTGGGAACCAAACCACTGTTCAAAACAATGGTTACGGTAGGAAGACAATGGAAGATGAAAGACGAACAACATCGGTTTCAAATAATCAGGACCAGTCTGGTTCTTTGTGTAGGGCGATATCAACGAGAATGGATCCAGAAACGTTAAAGATAATGGGGAATGAAGATTACAAGAATGGGAACTTTGTAGAGGCTTTAGCATTGTATGATGCTGCGATAGCTATCGATCCGAAAAAGGCTGCGTATCGTAGCAACAAAAGCGCAGCGTTGACAGCATTGGGGAGAATCCTTGAAGCTGTGTTTGAGTGTAGAGAAGCAATCAGAATGGAGCCTCATTACCATAGAGCTCATCATCGGTTAGCTAACTTGTACCTCAGGTAATCTCATCAAAGCCCTACCTTGTAATGCAAGTAAGTAACCTATTAATAATAAAATTTGAAACTAATAATAGGTTAGGAGAGGTGGAGAATTCAATATATCATATCAAACGTTCGGGTCCAGAGGCAGACCAAGAAGACATTATGAAGGCTAAAACGGTGCAGATGCATCTCAACAAATGCACAGATGCCAAAAGATTGCGAGATTGGAACAGTCTGATTAAAGAAACGAGAAACACCATAGCTTCAGGGGCTGATGCAGCTCCTCAAGTATATGCATTGCAAGCAGAGGCGTTCTTGAAGAGTTACAGACATCAAGAGGCTGATGATGTTTTGTCTAGATGTCCAGTTTTTGATGTGGAAATGAACACAAAATATTACGGACCCATCGGTTATGCCGGTTTCTTGGTCGTTTGGGCTCAGGTTCACATGTCTTCTGGCAGGTTTGGTCCCTCTGGTTTTCTTGTTTTATAGGACCAGACAAAAACTAAACTGGTTTGTCTCAAAACTTTTTTTTTTGGTCAAAATCAGATTCCAAGAAGCGGTTGAAGCGATTCAACTAGCAAACAAGCTAGACAGGAACAACAGGGAAGTAAGTATGGTTCTCCGGCGTGTACATGCCATTACCACGGCACGGTCCAAAGGCAACGATTTCTTCAAAGCAGGACGGTTTCAAGAAGCTAGTGCAGCTTATGGGGAAGGATTAGACCATGACTCAAGAAACTCAGTTTTGCTATGTAACCGAGCAGCTTGTCTATTCAAAATGGGCCAGTTTCATAGAGCCGTGGAAGATTCGACGGCAGCACTTACAGTCCGTCCTGCCTACGCTAAGGCTAGGCTTAGAAGAGCAGACTCTAACGCTAAGGTAGTATGTGTTGATGTTTTGAAAACAGTGTGTGTTGAGTTGTGACATTAATGGTAACATTTTTTTAATTGTTGCAGCTTGGGAACTGGGAGTTAGCTGTTGGGGACTACGAGATATTGAGAAAAGAGACACCTGAAGATGACCAAGTGATCAGAGGATTGATGGAGGCTCAGAATCATCTCGTGAAACGTCGTGGACGTGAGAATCTTTAACTAATTAAAAACCAAATTTCTAATTTTTTTTTTATCTTGGTGTAAATATAAACCGTTACATTTCCGTTTTTTTTATAACAATCTAGAACAACAAAGATGAGATAACATGTAAGACTTTAAAATGAACTCTTCTTATATATATGCAAAGGCAAAATAGTTATGTTTTTTTTTTTATATAAGACAATGTTTCTCTCTACATATAAGAAACAACTCCACGTAGAAGGAGAAGAAGAAGAATATAGTTGAATAATCTCATGGAAGAGAAGCAACATGGTGCTAATGATGTTGATGATGATGTTATGGAAGGAGTTTTACCTGCAATTGCTGGTGAAACCGCATGGCTTCTACTTTGCTGCTCCTCTGTTGGCAATGGATTTGGTGATGAAGTGCTTCCTGGTGAAGCCTCTTGAGGTGGTGCCATCTTATCCTCTTGACCTGTGAAAAGACGTTTTAGCTTGGAATCATCTTAATCAGAACTAATGTTCTGTTTAAATAGAAGTCTCTCACATTTGGAAGGTGACCAGCCAAGCTTCATGTTCTCTCTATCGAAAACTATTCGATACCCTCTCATGTAGTTCTCTACAAAAAATAAGAAGATGAAAGTCTTTTTCATGGAGATATAGTCTGAGGATATGTGAGAGAAAATGAACAAAGGTTATGTAACATACGTCCTATGACTCCAATGGTTTCTTCAGTAGCACTAATAGGTAAGCAAAACTGAACAAGCCCCTGAAATTTTTTGATTTCAACCAAATATAAATCATTGTTTCAAGCATGAATCATAAATGTATACATTATGGAAATGATCTAACCTGACTTTGTTGGAGTACAAACAAAGGTTTGTGAATCACAAAGGTGTTATTGGACGAGAACTTGAGCTTGATCGCTGGTACCTTTGGCTCAACGCTAATCCACCAAACAAACAAAAAATTATAAGAGAGAACCAATAACATAAAACCAAGCTTCGTTCTCTATGGTGTGTACCTAGTTTCATAGCAGTAATCCCACGGGGCACCTTCGATCTTCTTAACAGTAGCGTTTATATGACTATCAATCTCAAGAGCAACTTCTCTGTATATTGCCTCAGGTAGATAAGTAAATGACTGTCCACTATCGATAAGTGTTTGGAAACTCGTCTGCTTTAGACACGAATTGCCAACACAACAAGCCTCCACACCCACAATGTAAGCCACACTGTAAAACAACAGAATCTGCTTAGTATAAACTAAAACCTGTCTTAAACTTAAACTTAGTTCATTCATTTGTCATTACAATTCATTGTCGACCGGAAGGAAACGTGTTGATTGCTGCGTGGAGGTTCCCATGTCACCAAAGTAAATCCTCCCAAAGTCTTCCTCCTCATCAAAGCACATGGAGAAAGAGTTACGCATGAGTCCTGCTTTAGAAAGAAAACTCGGAACCGAGAGCTCTCCAGGTCCTAAACCCATCAAACCATCTGGAGCAGTCCCATCCAAGAACTCACCACTCTGCTTCTTACCACATCTACAACATTCAAAACACATTCAAAAACCATCACACATTTTAGAATAGTCAAAAAGTTCTTTAAAAAAAAAAACTCACCCTACAACAACTCTAGCCTTGACAGAGGAAGAAGCGTTGGCACTATACGCAAGATGTAAGACATCCTCAACAAGCAATCCAGAGCTTGAAGTGTTTTCACTAGCGTAGCTAACAGTATAAGGACACTGCTCCCTCGGACTCTCACAGCTTGGAGCTGACTCACAAAGCTTATGGCTGCATAGAAACACCTTGCTGGTGCTTGAACTTGATGGATTATACTCGTTGAGCTCTTTAGTAGCCTGCAGAAGAATATAATGTGGCGAGGAAGCATCTGCCAATCAATTCAACTTGGAAAAATAAGCGCATTAACTAACTAACTAACTGTGTACACCTAAGCATCATACTCTTATCATTACAACATACCAGGCTAGTGTAGTAAGTGGCAGCTAAAGGAGCGCACTGCACACAGTTGCAAGGAATCCAAAGAAGGTCACTTCCTGAATCTAACGCCACAAGGAAGGAAACACTCGGTGTCCCAATGTCTATCCACGTGTAATGTAGCCTGAGTCCAAAACAAAACAATAAAAATACAAACTTTACAAAAAAAAAAAACAAAAAACTTTTTTTTTTAATTTACCATCCAAAGTCGTTTCCTGAAGAAATGGTCTTGCTTCCTTCTGATGGAACAAGGGATTGAGACTTGGCACCGAGATTCATCCTTTGTCTTCTTAAATCGATACTTGAGAGCAACCGGTAATACTCGAAGCTACGCTTCTCCGGGAAGGAAGTCACCGGAGAGTTAATCGAAGCTCTGGCTTCGTCTGAGAAGCGGTGGATCAGCTTTGAGGAGAAGACAGAGGCTAGAGTCTTCTCTGTGGCTATAGAGAGTATGAAGAAGAGTAGAAAAGCAGATCGTGACGTCATTTTTTTTTGAAGCTAGGGTTTTTAGGTGAAGCAAGAACCAAGCTTTGAGATTGTTGTAAAAGAGGCAACAATGGACGAAGAATTGAGTTTTTTTTTAGTTGAAGTGTGTGTGTGTATGTATAGAATAGATACATACACAGAGATATTTGTTTGGTCGGGAGCTGTGACTGACTGTGAAAGAGAGAGAGAGAGAGAGAGAGAGAGAGAGAGAGAGAGACAAAGGAGAAGCTTAACGGGAAGAAAGCAAAGTCTGGAAATGACATAATTACCCCTAGCTGTTGGGCACTTTACACGTGTACTCTCAATCATTTGTCCGGTTTTGGTTTTCAAATTACGGTTTTATATCAACCATGGTTAGTTAACAATTGACGTGATTACCCTGAACGGTTTATATTCTCAATCATTTGTCCGGTTTGGCTTTAATGAAATTATGGTTAATGTTAATTCTCCTGAGCAATCGTTAATTCGGTTTGATTTTTGATTCCGGTATACTCGGTTTGGTTTGATGTCTTTTTAGAAAAACCCTAATTTACATATATAAATCTTACAAAGCCGATTCAAAACCTTTTCACTTGTTGGAAAAATTGCCGGGGAGATGGGTTACGGTAAGCATAGGCGATCTAAAGGAGGTAATTCGAATCCAGGACAAACCAGTAGGACTGATAATCTTGCAAGGTATGATAAAGTTTCTTCCTTTTGCTACCTTTAGCATCGTGGTTTATTATCTGGTCGATTAATTACGGTTTCGTTTTGATCTTGTAGGGAAGATGAATCGCTTCCTCATGATCAAGGTATTGAAAGCTTTAATTTTTCCGATGGTGGAGTATTGTTGATAGTATGATGTTTTTATTTGGTGTTTTTTTTTTTTTCTTGTAGGGTCTGAGGATGAAGCACAAGTTCCAAATGTTCAGTTGGCAATGTGGGTATGCATGTTTTCCTTTGATTTTAAGAAGAAAAAAGTTGTGATTCAAATTGAATTCGAGTTGTTTGAGATATAACTATTGTCTTTTGTTGTTGTTGTTAGGACTTTGGTCAGTGTGATGCAAAGAGGTGCACTGGTCGTAAGCTTGCTAGATTCAACTTGTTAAAAGTAAGTATCTATGGAACTGATTCTAACATGTATATATTTTCTCTTTTTTTTTTTTATGTTTTAATATCCTGCTTCATTTGTTTTGTAGGAACTACGGGTGAACACTGGTTTCGGAGGTGTTGTTTTAAGGTATCTCTCTCTACGTCTTGTACTAAAAGATGGTTACACATTCTTAATACTATGTTTTATAAAACAAAAAACACTATAATCTGTGTGGTATGTAATTTGACAGTCCAGTAGGTAGACAATGTGTTTCCAAGGAAGACTATGCTTTGATTAAAAGGAAAGGACTAGCTGTAGTTGATTGTTCTTGGGCACGTTTAACTGATGTCCCCTTTGCTAAGCTGCGTTGTACTGCACCTCGTCTCTGTAAGAACTTACAATCAACCTTACTGATAAATATTTTAGGATTTTAGCCAGATCAGTAGTTAGAAGGATTTGTATTTCTTCATTGTTGCAGTGCCATGGTTAGTAGCAGCTAATCCAGTGAATTATGGAAGGCCTTGTGAGCTATCCTGTGTGGAGGCTTTATCTGCAGCTTTGATTCTATGGTCAGTCCATAACTACTCCTAAAGGCTTAAAACTCATCTCATGGATTGGTTATATATTATTTATTTTCTAAGTGTCTCGTGCTCTTTTTATCTTATTAATCAGTGGAGAGGAGGAGACAGCAAATCTTTTGCTAGGGAAATTCAAATGGGGTCATGCCTTTTTGTCTCTGAACAAGTAACAAACCAAAACAAGCAAAGAGAGATTTTGTTTTCGTTTCTTCAATCTTTTAACATCATTTGATGTTTTCGTTTGCTAAGTAACATTTGGATTATGCAGGGATATTCTGAAGGAGTACTCGAAATGCGAGAATAGTGCTGAGATCATCTCAGTGCAAAATTCTTGGCTTACTCAGCAAACTCAGATCCCAAAACAACCAGCTCCCCTCAAAGAACGTAAGTCACTACTTCATACCATCATATGATTGAATTTCATCATGAATGTGTACTTGATTTTGTTTGTATTGGTTTGTTGGTGTAGATGTCAGGGAAGAAGGTGATGAATCTGAGGATGATGATGATTCTCTCCCTCCTCTAGAGAAGAACTTGAACCATATCAAGTTGGAAGACAGCGATGAAGATGATGACAACAACTGAGTGAGATTAATCTTTCAAAAGTTACAAGATGATGACAACAACTGAGTGAGGATTAATCTTTCAAAAGTTACACCTGGACCAGTGCTGGTGAATCTTGTGGAGTATAATACCATGTATTATTATGTTTTTTTTATTAATAAAACAAGTTTTTAAAAATCAACATTTTTATTAGTTCAAACAAAATGAAAATCTGAAAGTGAAAAGAAACACTAACTTGTGTCTGGAAAAAGAAAAGAAGACCCTCTGTTTCCTCCAAACTCGCCATAACCCTCTGTTTGGCTGGTTCAGTGAAGACATCCTGATTGATAAGTTTGCTAAGCTCAATAGCACTCAACAGTCCATCGAAGTATCCTTTTTAAAATATCTTTAATATTTTGCTTACATCTTGAAAGTTTGTTATCTCCAAATCAGAGAGCACAACACCTTCTTACAACAACTCCCAGAACCAGACACCTGTCACACAACGTCAGTACCATGTGATCCCTAATCCAGCAGTACCACCACCACAGTTCCTAAAACCGCCGGTAATGAATAATCCTCATGGCTTTGGTCACATTTCGTTAATGCCACCTGGACTCCACCGCCTCCACCACCACATATGATAGGTAATCAACATCCTCAGTCTAACTCATCAGCTCAGCAACAAACTCAACAAGGTGCATCTTTCCAGCCACATGGGATAGTGTTATTATGGAGCTCCACACCGTTCTTAAGACTTAAAAATGATGTTTTGTTTAGTTATATAGCTCTTTTAGATTAGTTCTGACCCTTGTATATCTGCCGAGTTGAAATTTTGATGATATGTTGCTGAGTCCAGTCACAATGTAACATTTGTTCCTCTCTGTTTATAGTAACACACGTTCTCACAAATGTTTGTACCACAAGCTTTAATATAATGTAACGTATATCAGTATATGTGTACTTTCTTAGCATCGAACCTACTCAAAAAAGATTTGCATTATCAGTCTGAAGAATCTTTTGGTGAAGTTTCTACAGGAGTTGGCTTCATACTCTGAAGATGGAAGATCCTCTGCGAACATCCTGTTATCAGTCCAAACTTCCCCAACCACGATCACACCAAATCATGAAAGATTACTAACTTTGATCATTCTTAAATATGATTAAATGATCATTAATCAATTAAGACTCTTACTCTTTGGACTCACTACACAAGTTGTTTTATCTTTTTCAGAGTATTTTCTAAATACCAAAATCATTTTTATTTGTATATAACTGAATATATATTTTGTTTATTAGATTTCATTATCAAGCATGAAAAATTGACATATATGTTGAATGTACTTATGATTATGACAGCCTTCTGTTCATTTGTTACTCAACAAACTAAAGAAGGAAGCTCCTGTGTCTTGTAATAATCCACACAAGTTTCTGAAAGGAGCATCTCCTTTATATTAATTTACAACTCGGTTACACCATCGTCAAACAAGTTTGTAGAAGAAAAAAACATAAATGAGTATATAGTTAAGCAGAAAAGAAACCGTTAGAGACGGCAAGAGCAAACTGAGATTTGGCTTCAAACTTCCTCTTCAAACTCTCAATCTTCTTCACCTCACTCCCAAACATCTTCATCTTCGCCGGAAAATCATTCCATCCTCCGACCTCCGCCGAGTGTGACGCTTTCTCCGACGTTAGCCTCACCCTCCGCTCGTATTCCTCCACCACTAGTAGTGCTATGTCAGCCATTGAAACACAAACTCTCTATTGGTTTTTTCTTTTTTTTTTAAACACAAACTCTCTCTATTGGTTATCTTCAAATCTTTATGACAAAACATACATTCAACACGTAAGCTATTTATATTGCTTTAGCGTGCGGTTTCGGATAAGGATCGCCGCATTATTTTTCCTTTTATTATTCAGAGGGGAAAATGTTTGTTTAATTTGTTATTCTTATCGTAATTGATTTCTGTTGGTTTTGGTGGTTTCTGGAAAAAAGGTTGGCGACGGTCGGTTTCTTGATACCATGTGCACCGATCAGAGTAAAGTAAAATAATAGTATTATTTAGCATTGTATCCTTATGCAAATGAAAGCTAGACCACTGTGATCAGAAGTTGTATACCAGATCAGAAAATAGAACACCGGTTTTAGTCATGATGTCATTAGTGGATCGCATTAGCCAAACAAACAAAAGATGTTAAAGCTGTGGAGATTATAAGTAGATGGGTTGCTATATAACATTATTGAGCCCTGATATCATTTTTTGAGTTTATGATAAAGCCCAATACTCGAAAGAAAGATAATTAACTCATTTTCCTGGATACAGGGCCACACTCTATAACACACATAAGAAACAGAGTGACGCATCCAAAGACATTTAACACAGAACAGAGTGAATGTAATCAAAAGCATTTCATAACGTCAGATAAACATTGATTGGTAACGAAATCTAATCACAGTAGTATACCAATTAGCAATGTGAAGGATCCATAAAGCTCAGAGAGAACAAAAGGTTCGAACTTTAACACAGAGAGTCAGAGAGAATAACGGTAAGAAACAGAGTAACGAATCCAGAGACATATTTAACAGAGAACAGAGTAATGAATCAAAATCATTTCACAATGTTAGATCTTTAGAAACATTGATTGGTAACCAAATCTTGTCACAGTAGTATTCCAATTAGCAATGTGAAGGATCCATAGAGCTCAGAGAGAACAAAAGGTTCGAACTTTAACATAGAGAGACACAATAACGGTAAGAAACAGAGTAACGAAACCAAAGGCAGTTAACAGAGAACAGAGTAATGTAATCAAAATCATTTTCACAATGTTAGATCTTTAGAAACATTGATTGCATTCTCAGAGTCAGAGTTAAGTCTATTAGTAAACCAAATCTAACCAAAGTAATAATTTTTTAAAGATCCCTAGAGCACAGAGAGAACAAAAGCTTTGAACTTTAAGAAACAGAGAGACACTTAGTAAGAAGGAAAAAGGAACCTTCTTTCCGGAGCCATCGAGGAAGAAAACGCGATAATCTAGGGTTTCGGATTGACCCTCTTCTTTAACCTTAACCTGAGGATTGTATATGGCATTGCAAGAGAAGGGTTGTTTAGATTTCAACACCAAAGCTCTTCTGTTGAAGGATAGAGCAGCGCCGCCGCATGATGTATTCGTCGGAAGAAGGAAAGCTCGTTTGGAGAGGAAACAGGAGGTGGGTTTGGTAGTGGCTGCAGCTGCAGTAAGCACTCTTGTGGCTGCCATTGTTGTGGAGAGATTTTGTTAAGTGGTGATGACCTTTCGTTTCACTAGTTGGCTCTCTTTTATTCGTTCAGACAAAAATCTATTAAAAATGGAAATTTTAGATCACGTGGGTTTTGTAATAAGGTAGGTGATACCAACTTCAGTAAATTAGGAAAAGAAACTAAAATTTGATTTAAATAACGCAAAGGTTTCGTGGTGTAGTTGGTTATCACGTCAGTCTAACACACTGAAGGTCTCCAGTTCGAACCTGGACGAAGCCATTCTTTTTTTCTAATTTTTTTTTTTTTTTACTTTAAGACGTGTTACTACTGCAACTGACGTTTTTCTTCCACTTGATTGTCATTTCAGTTACCACTTACGACACCGCCATTTTCTAGAGCTTTTTACAAAATACAAATCAGAGTGTGTGAACAAGAAGTTTAACTTAAGAGGAGGCAACAAGAGTTACATAAACTTATAAAGAAAATTTACAAAAGTTGAAGAGGAAAAAGAAGCACAAGGTGTCAAGGACACATGCATGATGAGTAAGTAGTACATGCATGATCATATCATATGATTCATATGATTTTAGCAAGACGATCTTTATTGTCTCTCTGATTGATTTATTCTCAGTTATCATTTCCTGATGAAGTCGACACCTTTCTGAATACTTCCTGCTAACTCTTCTTTTGCTTTCTCCAGACCAACCCTGTACATTTGTACAAAATCATCCAGGAAAAAAAAGGAACTCATGTTAAAAAAATATCTCTCATCTTTCTTTTCTGAGACAAGTAATATCAAGAGAGAATTGTTTCAAGACCTTTCGTATTCGTTCAATGGCCCAAGCTGATACTCTTCCTCTGCTCCTATACGTCCAAGACGCACCTTGGTTGCAAAGAAAGGTAACTCTGTCACCTGTGTTGTCAGAGAAAGCCATTACAAAATCAGACTCGTTAAGAGAATGAAACAAAGAGAGTAAAGAGTATACTATCTATTAAAAGAAAGAAAACTGAAAAGTCTTTTTCAGGATTTAAATTACAACGTGTGAAGCAACAAAAGAGCATTCAATGACATTCGCATCTCCTCTTAACCCTCGAAGGCAAGCATCTGCAAACTTTGCTGCAGCATATGCCTATATATAGTAGTAGTATTAGAACCAAGTGATGATGATGATGCTTTAAAAAGTAAGTTGGTTTTTCTTTTTTTTTTACCATTGAAAGTGTTGCCGAACCAGCTCCAGCTTTTGCCTCCACAACTTCAGTTCCACCGTTTTGAATCCTGTTCGTGAGGTACTCTATTTCTGATGGTGTGAAGCTGCTAGGAGGCTTAACCTGAGGCCAAACAAAAAAAAAACATCAATTAGCAGAGCAGCTCATGTAAATAAAAATGTCCTATTGATATGAAACCTGTGACAATAGTGGCAAAATTGTGACTCCTGCGTGTCCACCAACGACTAGTACATCGACTTCTCTTGGATCAAGTCCAAGAACTTCAGCCTTCACAAGATTGCATCAAATCTTAATATAACTGAATAAAAGTCGACAAAACAGGTGTTTAAGTAAGGAAACATAAAGCCATTAAATTACCACAAATGTGTTGGCACGAGCAACATCGAGTGTAGTAACTCCAAGGAGCTTCTTAGGATCATAAGTTCCAGCTTTCTTGAAAACCTCAGCGGCAATAGCCACAGTGGAGTTCACAGGGTTGCTAATCAAGTTAACTATAGCATTAGGACAGCATTTCGCTACCCCTTCACATAGTGTCTTAACAATCCCAGCATTGATTTTAAAGAGGTCATCTCACGTGTCATCCCTGGTTTCCTCGGTACACCAGCTGGTATGATCACAAGATCCATACCCTTTAAAGCGTCCTCAAGCTGCTTGGCTCCCAAGAAACCTTTAACCTGAAAACACCAACCAAGAGTATGTCCTTTACTCAAAACATTATCAAGAAGCAAGTCATCTTATGATGATGATAAAGCTTTTCCAAAGCTTTGAGAGGTTCTTACAACAGCTCCAGTGTCCATATGGCTAACGTCAGCAGTGACTCCAGGAGCATTGACAACATCGTAGAGATGAAGTAAAGAGACGAGAGGGTTCATCTTCATTAACAAGGATAAGGATTGTCCTATTCCACCTGCAGCTCCAAGAATTGCTACTTTGAATCCTGCTTTCCCACCTTTCCCTCTGCAGTTTTCTCTTCCCATTACAGTTTTCTTCTCCTCCATCTAATGGTCAATCAAACCACGAAGAAGAGAAGACAAAAACAAAACAGATTGGTTTCTAATGGCATCAAAAATCTTTACTCGTAGAAACAACTATTAAGATTCAGTTTTGTTTTGAGAGTGGAAGCAACTATTAATTCTGGTTTAGTACAACAAAACATTGAATAAGCCTAGAAGATAACTATTAAGTCAATTCTATCCTCGAAAACACTAGAGGTAAGTTTTTTTTCCAAATTTTGATTTTTTTAATAATGAACTGAAAAAGTCAGTTCTATCCTCGTCTTCAACCTGAAGCACTCAAAACACAAAAATATTCTTATAAATTCTCAAAACCTGGGCGGACCGAGGGTCCACTCACAAAATAGGGTTTAAAGTTTCTGTTAACGTGTGGATTAAGTAACTAAAGAATAAAACAGATATTGTACAGAAAATGAGTATTCGTTGAATATGTTCTAAAAAAACTGTAGTGAATGAAAAAAATACAAATCTATTTACACTATGGTTCGATATCTAAACTTGGAATCCCCTTCTTCTCCTTAGTTCTCTTTTTACGGGCATACCGTGACTAGGTGGTGTTGCAGAGACAGATGAACGTGGTGGGAGATCAATTACCACCCATCCACCGTCCTCGAAGTCCCTGTTCTCCATTCCATCAATATCGACGACCATGTAATCCCAATCGCCATCAACTGCCCCTTCTCTGGCTGCACTTATTTTCATTGCTCTTATAAGAGGCCAATCCCCACCACACATGACGGGAGATGGTGGCAGTAGAAGCGATGGAGTTTTCCCTTCAGGCAATACAGGCACGTTATCTCCTAGCTCAGCCGCCAGTCGCTCAGCAATGTCATTTAAGCCATGAACAGAAGCCGTGATATAAGCTAGAGGCAAATGACCACTACTCTCCAGTATACTAACACGCTCTTTAACATCTCCAAGGTAGAGAGCATTGTGAAACTGACTCATCACATTCTTCTTCTTCACTACTTCCGCAATCTCCATCAGTTTTGAAAGCTTGTCCAAATTGCCAGTAATGAGATAAAGAAAAGATAGCTTCGCAAAGTTCTTGGTCTGCTGGTATGCAAACTCAACAATTCTAGAATTACCCTGGCGAAGAGCTTCCACCCCAAGTCTATACCAGTGGTCTTTCTCGTTAATTTGTGTGGCCGATGCAAAAGCTGAGCTGAGGTTGCCACTTTCGAGAGCCAGGTTGAATCGGACCCTCTCGTCTTCCGCGAAATGGAGAGCAGCTTCAGGGAATCCTTCCTGCCGCAGGTAAGCAATCATAGCCTGTCCACATAGCGGGGAGTTATTTAGCATGCTCATGACATGACCGTAACTCTTTCTCAGGAGTGAAAGCTTGAATAGATACTCAGTTGCATTAATGGTGATAGCCCTGTTTTTCCCATCTCGATCCAAGCAAAAGATTGTATTGCCAGACACCTTGGTGATATAGATAGGGACATCTAGGGCCCGGATGTTTCCACTCTCTCCATTTGGAAGACAATACTTGATGCGATTCAGAGTTGTGTAAATGAAGACACCATCGTCGTCCCAAGCTCCACTTTTCACACGTACAGTCTCATGAAGAACGCACTGGAGGACGAGATTTTTGCTGGCGATAACGATGGTATGACTGCTGAGCAAAGCAACACGCTCCATATCATCAGACCAAACGACGTACCTAACAAAAGGTGTCTGAAGTTCACCAAGAACAAGCTCTCGCTGGAGGTCAAATATAACCAATTTATCCTCAGACCTACAAAGCAGATTTCCAGCGCCAGCATAAAAGATACCATCCGTGGGAACAGGCAGACAACTCTCTTTAATCACCTTATCTTTTAGATTCTTCACTAGCACATGGCCGGTGCTTTCCTCAAGAACAGCAAATCGATTACTGGTAATGAATACCGCAGAACGACATTTCCTATTCCTTGCGTCTTGCACAATGTCACCCTTACCAAGGTTACCTTTCGGTATGATGTACAGCTCGTAAGAACCACCACCATCATCCAAATCTGAGCAGATCAAAACTGCATTCTCCGTCGGGCTGTAAGAAAGAGTCCTTGGATTTTGATTCATACGTTGTATAGGGATAACCTGCGAATCTTTCTGAGATGAATATTCGTAGCACCTCAAAAATCCATCCTTGGCATAGAACAAAGAATCACCACTGAAAGCAAATGCAGGACGCTCTCTCTCAAATTTGAACACCATCATGCCCTTGTCGTGTCCCACTGCCAGCAGATTGATTTCAGGATGAACAGCAAGATTCCATAATCGGAAACGTTTACATTTGTAAGTAAGAATTTTTGTTTTCTTGGTAGCATCCCAGACACACATGCACTTATCCTCGGAGCTCGATACAATCATGTCCTGTTTCGCGTGAAATATGACGGATGAAACGTTATTAACATGACCTCGCAGTGTACCCACCACCTCCCACGCTTTAGTTTCTGCAATAAAATTGAAAAGACAACATTTCTTACCTCAGCGCCACTATTACACTAATTCAAAAGAAGCAGGGGGAAACACATACCGTTCATACGCCGCCACAGCTTTATTTTCCGGTCATCTGAACCAGAGACGATGAGAGGAAGGGTGGGATGAAAAGAAGCCCAGTTAACTCCTCTAACATGACCTGTAAGGACGTACTTAACAATAGCGTCATCAGCAGGAGATGCTGTCTTCTTCCCAAGAGAAGTAATATCCCACACACGGACGGTGTGATCCGAGGATGCTGATACGACAAGGTCTTCTTTAGGATGGAAAGAAGCACACATAGCATAATGAGTGTGACCAGTCAAGACGGAAATACAAGTATGTGACTGCCAGTTCCAAATGCGGATAGTCTTGTCGTCACTAGCACTCACAATCCAAGGCTTTTCGTGGTGAAACTGAACAGTGCGGATACGATCGAGATGGCCGAGAAGCGTGAAAAGGCACGTGTGTGTGTTGTAGTTCCACACCATAATCTTGTAATCATCCCCTGTAACACAAGTAATATTTCCGAGGAGTATGAAAAGCTCTTACTTAACATGGAATCTGCTTTCAGTGGAAATTTTAACTTTCGCTAACCATGTATCAGTGCTAGAGTCGACAGCTTTGGTCAAGTAAACAAAGGCTGGGACAAATCAATGAAACAATTCTCTACCAATAGAATCCTAGCACACTAAGAGTTATTCCATCCGTTTCAATTTAGTTGTCATTCTAGGTTTTTACACACAGATTAAGAAAACAATTAATCTTATATATTTTCAAAATAAAAACACAATTACCTAGACATCTAACCACTTTTCAACCAATGAAAAAATAAAATGACTTTTAAAATCAATAAATTTTGCATTGAAATTATACACTTATTTTGAAACACAAATTTTACTCTAAATGACATTTAATCTGAAAATGGAGGGAGTAATAGTTACCGCGAATTCTAGATGAAAAGAAGAAAGCATATACTACCTCCCGAGACGAACAAAGGCTGTGAATTATGGAAGTGAACACTGCGAACAGGTCCCTCGTGCTCCTTGAATCTATGGATCACAGTACGCGACCGATAATCCACGAGCACGATATCACCACTGTGAAAACTGGAGAGGATCCATGGTCTTTTAGGGTGGAAGCTTATGCCATTGACTTGGTCACTCTTACTATCCAAGAGGATCAACATTATGAGACACCTCTACACGAAACAAGTTCACAGAATAGCTCAAAACCAAAAACCTAATCCGATCCAAATCGCAAACGAAGAAGAGGAGAAGTAGGGATTCACCTTCGGATCAGATCAGTTCGCAGGAGGAAAAGCGATCAAGCACAGCTTCAAGATTGAGAAGATTCGAATTCAGTTTCTTCGACTATATATACGTCTCTCCACTTTCTCCTCGCGTCAATATTATGGGTCCCACTCTAAAATATATTTTCTCGATTTATCCTTGTTTTTCTTTCTTTTTCTGACTCGTCTTTCTTTTATTAAAAATAGGGAATTTGCACTACATAGTACATACCTATGAAAGATCACTAACTTTGATCATTCTTAAATATGAATAAATGATCATTAATCAATTAGACTTCTACTCTTTGGACTCACGCTACACTAGTTGTTTTATGATTTTCCAGAGTATTTTCTAAATACCAAAATCATTTTTACTTGTATATAACTGATTACATATTTTGTCTATTAGGTTTCATTGTCAAACATGAAAATTTGACATATATGTTGAACGTACTTATGAGTATGACAGCCTTCACTTTTTTGATACTCAACAAATTTAAGAAGGAAACTCCTCTGTCTTGTAATAATCCACACAAGTTTCTAAAAGGAGTATCTCCTTTATATTAATTTACAACTCGGTTACACACATCGTCAAACAAGTTTGTAGAAGAAAAAAACATAAATGAGTATATAATATAGTTAAGCAGAAAAGAAACCGTTAGAGACGGCAAGAGCAAACTGAGATTTGACTTCAAACTTCCTCTTCAAACTCTCAATCTTCTTCACCTCACTCCCAAACACCTTCATCTTCGCCGGAAAATCATTCCATCCCCCGATCTCCGCCGAGTGTGACGCTTTCTCCGACGTGAGCCTCACCCTCCGCTCGTATTCCTCCACCACTAGTAGTGCTATGTCAGCCATTGAAACACAAATTCTGTATTGGTTTTTTTCTTTTTTTTTGAACAAAAAACTCTCTATTGGTTTTTTTCTTTTTTTTTTGAACAAAAAACTCTCTATTGGTTATCTTCCAATCTTTATGACAAAACATACACTCAACACGTAAGCTATTTATATTGCTTTAACGTGCGGTTTCGGATAAGGATCGTCGCATTATTTTTTCTTTTATTATTCTGAGGGGAAAATGTTTGTTTAATTTGTTATTCTTATCGTAATTGATTTTTTTTTTTTTTTTTTGATCAATT